CCACCACCATCAGTGAGGGATAGCTGTCCACATCTGTCCATGCTCCGGGATATCTCCCCAAAAATGAGAACTGGTGTCCGTGTGTGTGTGAATGTGTGGGTGCTAGAGGAAGCTAAAAGTAAATCTAGCAGTTTGACCACTCCTCCCACAGCATCCATCAAAATATTCTGTAGGATTTACTCTTCTGTCACAAACGTGCCAAACAATTAGAGACGACGTGCAAAACACAATGACTCCCAGGTGCTAATTAAAAGAAAAACTCCCCTGTAATATGCTGAGTGCCGAGATCAGCCTCAGTGCAAAGCTCCCACAAGTTTATCATTCCAGACAACTGGCCCCACTCTTTAATAAAGCATTCTCAGTGGTGGGGATATAAAATTTAATTGTTTTATTAAATGGATAATTAAGTGTTTATCTGTTTGAACCACTAAGAACAACTTGTGGGTTCCCAGGTTTAAAAGAAAAAACCTGCAAGTGATAGAAAGCACACTTTACCTTCAATGGAAAAACGATTAAAACAAAGTATTTGTACATAAACTGCAGACTTAAAGGAATAGTTCAAATATTTCAAAAGCTTTTAGAACAGAAGCAATTCACTTTGGACTCAACACTGCTCACATTAGTCGTAAGCTAATTAATCCGGTTAAAACTGATAGATCTTTCCCCAATTTGATGTTGTTCAAAAATATATCTACCACAGGTAAGATACTAACTGCTCATAACTATCCCATATAATAACTTTAGCTTATTAAAATGTCAGAGACTTCTGGATATATAATAAACGCACAAACAATTTATGTTCTGCAGAACTGAATTGTTACTAAATAAAAACCAGCACCACCTCAACGGAGTTTTCACAAAACTATTTAATCACCTGCTGCTGACCTAAGACAGACAATATTTTTCCCTGTTTGTCTGTTACCAAAATTAATGTTACCATTAAAATTTGTCTTGTGGTTCAAGAGATAGTGAAACTTGCAGCAATTTATCATTGGATTCACATCTAATAATAATATAATTTTGGAGGCCAACCCATTTCAAGATGGATGCCACAGCCAACTGACCATAAAAACACAAAGATGGATATGACTCAGACCGATATTAAGCTAAAAGTTGGCGTGTTGTTAGCTGAGAATCATATCCAACACATATCTCAAGCACAACACACTGTGCAAAATATTTGTTTAAAACTTCAGCATTAACTGTTGGCACCAACCTGGTTTGTCTGTTAGCAAAATATCCAAAGGATCATTGGATCGATTTTAAAGAAAGTTTCAGAAATAAATCACTGGATGTATGTAAGTCTACAACTGGTTAGCTTTTGAAGTCAATTCAATGCAAGCCGTGATCACAGCTATCAAAATTAGCCAAAACATAAATAAATATATAAAAAAGGAAGACTGTAATAAACTTTTCTCTCGCTCTCTATAAAAAGAAAGAAAAGTGATCTTTTGACATATTGGTCGATTCATCTTCATATCAACAAGATATTTAATGATCAAACAGAAAGAATTAAACTGACATTTGATGTTTCTTTCTAGGGATGCACAATATAGGATTTTTGGATGATATCCAATATGTTAAAACTTATTTGGCCGATAACTGATACCCAATAACAATACTGATATTTTTCCCCTAGATCTACTTACAGAGACTACATAGCTTTTTCTGTTTTGGAATTAAAAGACATTATTCTGCATGGTCTTTGTCAGTTTTGCCTGCTACCAAAAAGGGGGCTGAAAATGAAGTCACATTTCAACTTGGATTATGTTTAATATCAAATTTATTCATGACATTTACTCTCTCTAACACAATGACAACACTCGAACAGTGCATATTTGTAAATTTACACAAATTTAAACTCAACGCCGCACGTGACGTCATAACGTTGTGCTGGCGCTGCAGGCATCCTTGTCACTGGGTTGTCATACAAAAACAGTGCCTTATACAGTATATACATATATATATATACACATATATATATATATATATATATATATATATATATATATATATATACATATACATATACAGCACCTTTCATATCGGTGAGATATTTAGATGGAATGGCCGATGTCCGATATTTAACTTTATCGCTAATATTGGCCGTTACTGATGCCATGCCGATAATATCGTGCATCCATATTTCTTTCTATTAATGCTCACATCAGTAAAGTTTAATTATCAAAAATTTGATTTTAAAAAATGTGAAAAGACGTACAATCTATTCTTCTACACTTTATTAAAAACAGGTTATCAGACAATACATATACAGTAAACAACCTCTCCAGAATAAAATCTGCTATCATTTTGATGTACAACAATAATTTCACTGATCTGCATACGACAAACCTATTTATTGTGTTCCTTTGATCCAGAATATCAGAAGTTAAACCAATCTTGTGGATGAACGCCTTTAAGTTAAATCTAAAAAATGCAAGGGGGGTAAAACTAGTCTTGCAGGTGACATTCAATCATGCTGCGAGTTGATATTCAAGTAGTTACTGAATCGTTTAGATTAGGTGTCACTAATGTTTAGTGAAAGTCAGCAGCCATACAACGCCTGCATAGGTGCCATCACAAAGCTGCTATGTGTCATCGATGTGACATAATTAAAAATCTTTGCATTTGTGCTGCATTCAAGTTAAGAGAAAAAAAAAATGGTTTGAATGAATTTATACAATTCCAATTCTTTGAGCATGAAAACCAATCTGCGGTCACGTGCAATATTTAAAGTGCTACTTTGGGTTTGAGGATTACTTGTCCTGCAAATGAGATTTATTGTTCCGACAGTGGAAGCTAATGGAGACGCTGCTGCGGGATAAGATCGGATTTTTAAGACAGTGAAGAACCTTCCTGCTCGAGGCGACGTGGGACTGACAGCGGTAGAGAGAGGAATCAACATCAATAATCTTTCATCAAGTCCCACAGTGGAGCACTTCAGCACAAATACCGTTCAATAAACAACTGTAGGCCATCATTTAGGCCTGAACCGGCCAGAGAGAGGAGGATAACTTCAAGAGGTAAAAGTCAAACAGCTGTTTGCTAGTAAAAGATAAATAAAACATGTTTAAATGAAAAGTTTCGGCTCCCGATTGTTTTGGTCTCCAGCAGTGATTTTGTGGTTTTAATATTCTCTAGTCATCTAATTTTCACAGTTTATTTTAAAGCTATAACTACAAAAAAACATACTCAATCATCCTGATAATAGATAGCACAATAAAACATGTTGATTGTTGCAGATTCTCTGGGTGCCTCATGTTTGTCATCAAAAACAAATCACAAAATGAGAACATGCATCATTATTCGGGACATGTCTGCGGCCCACTGCTGGAAGAATGGGAGAAAAAAAAAAACTATAATCTCTTGAAATCAATAGATAAAGAAAGTAAAGTCAGTTTGACTCATAGTATTGCTCTTTAATAGAAGAGATGAAAGTTGAAAATTAGTGGATTAGCTCAAAGGAAAAAAGATTTGCAATACGTAAAAAAAAAAAAAAAAACTTACAAATTAATCAGCTTGTGGAACAAGTTACTACAATAATACCGTATTTTTCGAACTATACGGCACACTTAAAATCCTTTAATTTTCTCAAAAATCGACCGTGAGCCTTATGTATTAATTCTGCGTGTGCTTACCGAGCTCAAACTGACTTTATTTGGTACAACTGAACAATGTTGAGAGTTACTGTGAATGAGTTGAATAAAGTTCGACTTACTGTTTTGTTCCGCTTAATGCACCTTATAGTCCAAAAAATACGGTAATCACATTTTGCATTTCTTACTTTCAATCAGACTTAACAGCACACAGACAAATCCTCTGCCTGCGTCTGTGCTCGCAAAGGCAGAAACAATAATCGACCTTTGGTCTCCGTTTTCACTTTTCCTAACAAAGTTCCAAACGCCACCAGCGACACCCTGCAGACAGCCTTTGCTGTGACAGACAGAGTGATGACCCGGGCTCGTGTGATGGATAGGTGACAGGGTAACTTGGGACCTGAGGGCCTGCCTTTTGGGGTGGGGTTTAGCCATCATGGTGTGCTTAATTACCTGCACAGCCACACAACAGGCCATTAGTCAAACTGGGACACTGGTTCTCCTGTCAACATGAGATAAAAGAGCCTTCCTACAAAGTTATATATATAGATGGATTTAAAATCAGAAACTGTGCATTTCTCTCTTTCAGTTCATCCAATTGTTGAAATGCAAGAATAAATGAAACTGTGTGGTTGGGTGTAGTTTGAATGTTCTCACCTCGCACTTGTGGGTTATTTCCAATTACACCGGTTTCCTCCCACAGACCAAAAACCTGCATGTTAGGTTAATTAGTATCTTTAAATTGTTCCTAAATGTGAGTGAGAGTGTGAATGTTTGTCTCTACATGGCTCTGTGATGGACTTGCAACCTGTTCGGGGTGTACCCGCCTCTTGCACAGTGACTGCCATAGATAGGCACCAGCTCCACGTGACCAGGAAAGAACAAACGGAAAAAGAAAATTAATTTATGTATGAATGAGTTTTAAAATGACCCTGCTGTAAGTTTAGTATGTGGTCTCATTAAGAAACAAGCTTGCCTTTATTAGCACTTACATGTCAAGCGACAACTTTGACAACTCAAAGCATTTATCAAGTAGGTGCCTGAAAATGTTCCACATGCCAGCCCTTTCATGAATTATTGTGTTCAAGCTGCACGAGTGGTGCTGTATGTGATGCTATGAAAAGACGGGGGGAAGAACTGCAGAAGAGAAACTCAGATCTAACATATACTGTGATCTGTGTGTACAGGATGAAGAAAAGACATAAAATACTGTGTTTTTGACTCAGTGGGCTGACATTTATGGCCCCCCGGTGCTTCTTATGGAGCATTTTGTGTGAACTGCCTCTGCTGAAATGTGGGTGGCTAATAAATGGCAGCTAATGGAGAGAAGACAGTGCACAGCCTTCTTCTATAATCTCTGGATGCTTCATTAAGCAGCACCTTTATTTGCAGAGCTGCACTAACCTGGTGCTGTCGCTCCCCGGCTTGGCGTAGCCCTCCAAAGCGCCCTCCCACACGCTGTTGGCCATGGCGTTGCCGATCGCAGTCATCACCATGCTAAGCTCCACCGGCCAGTCGTCCAAGTCCAGAGAGCGCACACGAGACAGGTGGGTGCCCAGATTCCTGTGGATGCCGGAGCACTCGATGCACATCAGGGCACCCAAGTTCAAACTGGCCCAGTCTGGGTCTGCAGGGTAGAAGATAAGAAATTGTTCATTCTTTCCTCCTTAATAATTTAAATAGGAAGATCATAACTAGCAATATACTGTATCGTAATCCTGAAAATATGTTTATTTGAAATTTAGATGAATACAGGGGTAAATTAAAGCTCTTATGTAAGTTTGTTGTTTTCTAAAAAGCCCATATTAAGAGCAACAATGTATTAAGAGGTTTTCTGTAACAGGTTTTCTAAATTTTTAAGCTTGGGATACCCCAAAACAACGTTAAAGGTTAATGATCCCACAAATTATTGGTTGAACTACACAAACATTGCTAAAAACATTAACATAACATAATAATCACAAATGACAAATGAATTAAACTCATATTATTCAATTTGTTTTCCCTGTTTATGACTACGATTGTTATTTTTTGTAAATGTTAGAGTGGAAATATGCTTGTAGGAATTATACTCTAATGTTGTAACCCCCCTTTTTTAACTCCTTGAATGGAAAAGTGTAGAAATCTTGAAATATGAGATTATATTAAAAGAAGTTGGAAAAAAAATCAACCCATAATCCTTCTTTAACTTTGACATATGCTCACATAAATTTATTTTATTAAGGTTTGGTTTTTACTAAGTGAATCAGTGGCAGATAAAACAAAACTACAGTAGTTTATTTAAGCAAAGATTTCTATAAATGTGCTTCATTGTGTATTTTACATAGAGCAATAATCCATTTTCTATCCGATTTTATACCCTTTAAACATAGATTTTTTTCATATTGAGTTTTATTTTCTGTAGTTTCTTGGTGAGAAATCAAGTTCACTTATACATTGTGATAGATTAAAAATGAACCTTGAACTGTTTTTAATGTTATATAGTAACTTATAAATAATAATTTACAGTTAAGCAGAGGTATACTCACTGGGTGCATCACAGTCCACACAGAAGCTGTTCCCCCTCACATTTCGTATGGACTGAATAGCCATTGCATCACTTTGGCTGCCTAACCGAGACTGTGAGAAATTAGGGAGAGAATAGGTCAACAGGAACTAATTATTTCAGTGTGGTGTAGCAGAAGGCAAATAATTACAGCTGGACTCAAATCACGGACAACCGGCAAGGAAAACCAGTGAAGAAGAAGGAGTCGGAGGCAGGGAAAATATGAATATGAAAATGAGGCTGTTTCTCCCCAGTAAGCTGACACAAGCCATGTTCTATCTAAGATGTCTGTCAGTTCTAATAAGAGATCCCCCACACTGTGGCACACCTGTCTGACAACCTCCCTCATACAGCGTGAAGCAGATGAGGAGGGGAAGAATGCAAAAGGGTTAGAATTAAGGGGGAAACGAGGATCTTATTGGAAGCAGCAAAATAGTAAAAATACAAAAATACGTTGATGTTTGCACATCCTTTCCACGTTTAAATACTCCTTATTTGTGACAATCTACTGCACCTTGTTCTTGATGCTCTCACAGGACTGCAGGCTGGCGAAGATCTGGCTCTCTATTGCTTGCACCCACAGCTCCCTCTCCTCGTATGAAGTCGCTTCAAAGTTCCACGTCTGACCCGTCAACGACACGATAATGAACTCGAAGGAATCTTCTTGTTCTGAAAACAAAAAGTGACAAAAAAAAAAAAAAAAAATCTAGCTTAATCTAAAAAGAACTGCTGTAATGTTAAGATAAGATAGAGCTTTATTGATCCCGCAGGAAATTGTTGGTTTATTGAGAATTATTAAAATAAAAATCCAACATCCAGGTCCTGCCAGGATACTGAAGATGTGCACGATGGAGAGAATCACATGTAATTTGTGAATTTGGAAAGATTTTAAAATTAGAAATCCATTCAAATGCAAAATCACACTGGACTGCACTTCAGGAGGACATTAAAGAGATTTTAAACCATTGGTGTCCTCAGGCCGTTTCTGTGAGTAGCAAGTTGGCCATCTGGCCTAAAACGTTTGATTGTTGTACATGATGATTGATTGTTTTGGACAGATGGGCCATGTTTGCATGTATTAAAAGTCTACTTCTGAGATTTCAACAAGAGGCTGGCTTGAAACACAGCAGTGAAGGCTACCTATGGGACAAATCTGGTTGGCAGGCCACAGACTGACGAAGTCTTCCAGATGGGAGACGAAACGTTTCTCACTTAAAGTAAGAAACTGGTCCAGATGACAATTGAATATTTTTTGTTGTTATCTACCTGGATGACTGAGCTTACAAACCGTTTCTTTTATTAAAGAGATTTGTTTGCTATGTTTGTGCTGTTAGACAAAATGCTTTGGCATACAGTAGTCCCTCGTTTATCGCAGTGGATCCGTACCCTGAAGCCCCGAGATAAGTGAAAAACCGCGAAGTAGAAATAGTAGTACAAGTCGTTATATCACTTTTTTCCAACGTAAGATTGGGCATGACACTATTGGCTGACTTATGAATGAGCCATGGGTTATTTATTTAAAATAAATAATTTTTAATGATTTTGCACCATGTGTGAAGCCCACAAGTGCAAGGGAAAGCTCCCTCCTGCAGCTGATCAGCTGAGCTCCTTTTCTGCCACACATTTCTCCTGCTGCATCAGCTTTGTGCAGCTTTGCTGTCCAGATGCACGTAAAATTCAAAGTATGTCACATCGTAAAATCGTCATAATCATAAAATACAAAAGTGTTAAAAGTTATTTTTTTTTTATTTTAGAACTTCTATGTTCAGTTGTTGAAGTGTAATTGATCAAGAAGTACATTTCTGCTCCGTGCTGCAGAGCTGAAGCTGTGTGACATTCCTGTGACGTCCTGCTACACTTCTCTTCTATATCATTAAAATACTGTAATATTTTAAATAAACAATCCATGCTACATGGATTGTTTATTTAAAATATTACAGTATTTGAATTTAAATAGTTTATATAAGGAGGGAGATTGGGAGTAACAGGTGATGAGTGTGATTGCAGCCTGGCACATGTCATGACAAAGTTTACTGAATTTGTATTTGAATTTGGAAGTTGTGTCCCTACTTCGCCATTTTTCACTTATCGTGGTGGGCGTGGTCTCCAACACGCACGATAAACGAGGGACTACTGTATATATAAAAGGTGTTTTAAACACTTCACACACTCTTGCAATATTCTAAACAATGTTTCTAAACGCTCTAAAAGAGCACCGAATGTCATGATTTCAGCTCTCTGCCACCGGCCAGCGCTTTCGGCCACACCCACTTCACTGCAGAGCGGAGATCATGACATGCTGCAGGAGGAAGCTTCACCTTCAGCTGTGGGATGTACACAGGTGCAGGAGGTGCTAAATAATTTTAAATAATTTATTTTGAATAAAAATTCCATGCCGATCATGCAGCTCATCCATCAATCAGCCACTTGTGTGTCATGTCCAATCTTACTTTGAAAAACAGCGATACTGCGAGTCTGCGAAAAATGAACTGCAAAGTAATGACGGACTACTGTAATCTCAAACTGAGAGGTAAGAAGAAGAAAAAAAGTAAATTAAGGTCTGGCATTTCACGAAGGAACGCAGATCACACTGTTCACATCTGTTCAGAACATCTTAACTACTGACACAGTTGAAGCAGTATTGGACAAACTTTGAAAATAACCTTATGCACAATCTCCAGCTATAACTATGTGTTGTGAATACAGCTACAGCCACATTCAATTTTAGCTCAGTATTTATAAAATCTACTATGTTTTAGCCAATTGTGCATTTTTTAAGATCAGTTGGATGTGGCAGCCATCTTAAATGGGGTTCATTCCAAAAGCTATTACAGGTGTGTGTTGTATGTTTAATGACTGTACTTATTTATTTTAGCAATTTTCAATAAAACCTGTCCAGTGATTCATGAGATATTTTGACATTGGACACATATGTACAGAGACTCAAGCAAAAACTTTAGCATCCACCTTTCGGAGGTAGACAATGATAATTTACCATTAACAGGATTTGATTCATTATTTTAATGTGCAAAGTACTTTAGAAAACTGCTGGGACACTTTCTCTCCAAACTGAATTTGTGGCACTTTGACTTTTACACATTATATATATTTAACATAAGCAATAAAATAAAATCTAAATCCGTTTCACACATTTACATACTTCCACATCTTAATCACTAAATCCAAATTAAGATTACTTTAAAGTAAAAAAAATAATAAAAAAATCCTTCCAAAAAATGTTTCATTCTGTCTATTTTTTCCTCTTCCCAAAATACAAAAGCTTATCCATTTTATCCAGAAGTGACTTTACCCGATGATTCTCTGTGTTTGACTAAGATTTATGAAAATGTCACCTGATGTTTACAATGAAGAGCTCTGACACAACATATGCTCCAACACATGCTGTAATGCCTCTGCCGATCAGAAGCAATTCATTAACTCCGTACAGTACAACGTGACTCGTGTAACGTCTCTGGTCTGTGCACATGCTTGAGCTCATTGCCAAATGATTTGTAATTACCTAATTATGTCTATGCAAATACGGCTCTCATTTGCATAAACCACGCTTCGAGGACTGAAGGCAAACAGACACAAGAGGTTTGGGGTTTTTTTCTGTGCAGCTCTGATCAACTTTTCATCAAATGTTCTACTTGGGTGCTGTTTTCTTGAAGACAAAATGTTATAATTGAATATTAAAAGGACAAGAAAGGCTATACAGCTGCCAAACATTCAAACAACTTAAGTAAAAGGAAATGTTTGATATAAATTGAGCTCCATACAAGTGTCTGGAATAACATGATGATGTCAATTTAACCTCCATGTTGCGTGACACAGCTGTACGTTGTTAAATGATAAATGTGCAATGGATGCCACTAATATTGCAATCCTTGTGCTGCAGCAGAGAGTTATCTCTTCAGGGCTAAAGCAATAATCCAATTAGCCTGACACCGACTTCAATTATCTGATTTAGTTTGTGGAATTGACTCCAGGTCACAGAGAATCAATAAAGACTTTTGAAACCTCTTTATGTGGAGTTACAGCCAAAAAAAAAAAAAGTTAGTGTGTATGTGTGACATTTTAAAGCACCCATGAGAAGAATTTGACAGAATCAAAGTGGTTAACTTCAAGGAACAGCAAAGTAATGGACAATAACATTAAAAAAATGTGGAAAAACAGAATGATTAATTGTGAAACACATAATCAAACCTACTTTTTTGCGTGTCCAATATAACTTGTGGTACAATAACTGATGCAACTGATTAGAATTTGTGACTCCAAAATGTTTTGCTCATGCTCTTGTCACTTTAAAAACCTGAACAAAGCTAATTATTCTGTTGGCTGCCCAGGCAATAAATTGGAGGCATTAAAACACTTTCATTATGGAGATTAAAAAAGCAACGGATGGCTGGTTTCTTAAACTGATGAGTATACAAGGAATCAAATCCTGTTATGTATGTAAAGCAATATACAAATGAAACATACCCAAAACAATCTGCAGCCAAAATGCCTCAGAGCAACTTTGCAATTTAGCGATATCACACTGCAAACTATTTAATGCCCTAAATGGAATAAACTTCAGTGCTTATCTCAAAATTCTGAGCATGAACAAAATAAAATTAAAAAAATGATTGCTGCATTTTCATAAACAGCCACGACGAGCCAAAAGAGCCACTGGTGCTTGTCTACCACTCAGCTGTTGCAGTTAGCATGTGGCTAACGGAGGAATGATCACCTTGTCACATTACCATAAGCATTAACCTCCTGACCACGTCTACATGATCCTGTCATCAACAAGTTCTGGCCAATTAGAAATAAATTAATGCAGCGAGACGACAAGAAGGAACTCGTTTTAAAGCCAACGAAGGCGCCAACTGTGGAGAAAGAGCAAAATATGATTTTTCCTTAATTAACACAGCATTATAAAAAAGGAAATTACAGCGTAATGGCCGCAGAGCTACAAAATGGAGAGGAACAGATTAAGATACACATCTCCGTCCGACACTTACATGGATCATAAAATTTCTCAGGAAACATCTCAGTTACACATTGTTCATCTGCTCCTTGATTGGAGTAACACGACTGCATTTTAATAGGCAAAATATCTCATGAACATAAAAAGAAGTTTCTGTTATTATATATTTAATGGGCTGCACTACCTACTTTTAAATTATTAGACTTGAGTATTTGTATTATGAGCTACCTAATACTTTTACCCCTTGATAATACTTTTTGTGCTGCTGCATTTCTTTGAACGTTTTTTTTCCAATCAAAACATACAATAAAGTTAACTAATATGGAAGTCTTGGATAGAAAACAGTAATTTCCAGTTGTTTTGACTAACAAAACTGGTCATGAAAGCAACATTTAATTGTGGGTCAGTGTCCCGTTTTGTTTTATTGGGTTCGCATTTCCATAAAAAAACCCCCACATTTTTTGAATTTTGAAAACTCCTCAAATCATCTGTTTAGACATAATTTCAATGTCCTATTAAGATAAAAAGACATCGAATTAAAAAAAATGAAATTCTGTACATTGAATTTTCTTTATTTCCCCCCAACAGTTTTACTAAACTGATGTTTTCATTGCAAGACAATCGAAGGATGAACCAATGAACAGGCTGTCTGTCTATATCTAACAATGCTATGCATTTAGTAATTCAGATATATTTA